TCAGACTCATCTCCTTGTGAGCTGGGGAAAACATTTAGTTGGTTTGAACCAGCCATCTAAGTGCTATGGAAGGCAGGAGCAATGCAAGGCCAACTTTTACCTCCATGGTTTTCCTGTTTTCCAAAAACTGCCCAGTTCTTTTGAGTTCAGAGATATACAGATGGCCACATTGGATCATGTTGTGCAATCTTATAATGTTTACTCAGAGTTAAGCCTGCTTGAGTTCCATGGTTGGGACTTACTTCCTTTTACGAGAGTGCAGATATGGGCAAGAAATGTCTATTTTGATCCATCATTGTGTGAAATTAAGTGATTTGTTTTATTTATTGCATTTTTAGTCACCCATTAACCAAAGTTTTCTGGGTGGTGAACAGATTAAAACAGGTTGTACTAGGGTTTTCTGCCAGCACAGATCTGCCCTTTATAATGGAATACAATTAATGCTGTTGAATACAAACTGAATCTAAGTTAATGCCAGTGTGGTTTAAATTTGGTTTGCAAATGGATTCCATATACAGACTGCTTCAGGGTTCAATCCTAAGCATGACTGGCTGGAGAATACTGAGAGTTGTAGGGCTTTTCTTAGCCTAAACATGCATGACCTTGCACCTTTATACTTAGCATTTCAAACTATGTTCTGTAACTTCAAAAGTTCCAGCTGGCTACTACAGTCTTTGCTTTGATGAAATGTGGCCCTTGATACATTTTGGCACTTTGTCCTCCTAAGATGAGAGATGTCACACCCATATCTTCGAAGGGGCAGCCCTTCTACTCTTGAATAAGCACAACTGGCCCTCCCATTAGGCAGAGGGATGTAGCTTGCAGATGATGTGGGCACAGCATCCCTGTACAGATCTTTTCCTTCAACCCTCTGGTTGTTCCCATCCTACTGAATTTCTGTCCCCACAGCATCAGACGTGCGTGGGATGCCTGTCTGCTTGCCTCACCTTAATGTTTTGTTACCAGGTGATTCAAGTAGATGTACAAAACCCCGGTCCCAAGGCCAAATTCAGCCCTTTGGGGTGGCCCACATGACCACCCCACACTTCTACCTAACCCAGCTGTTTTCACCATGTAGTGATTTCCCGGTTTATGTGTATACCCCCATCATAGGCTAAAATGTGTGTCTGTAACTGGCAGCAGATGGTAGCAAAGCATGGGTAGCAAGGGCAGTGGCCATAGAAGAGGGAACAGGAGTCCAGTGTTGAAGAGGACTGTCCTTTGTTTAAATGTAGCCTTGTCTGAAGGGCCTTCCTGTCCAATGCTAATGGACTGCTAATGGATCAAGAATGTGGCCCATCAACAGATACCACCTAGACCAGTGGTGGCGAACCTAGGAGCCCCCTCTGTCAGCATGCGAGCTAAGTCACCTCAGCATCGCCCCAGCAGCCGAGCATCAGATAACAGCGCACACAGGGCCCATGCACATGCTCGGAAAGGAGTAGTGGTGCCAGGCAATGATGTCACGAGCTGCGACTCATTAGCCACGACTCGTCCGAGCTTTCGCATGGCTGGTCAGTGTGCTGCCAAGGAGAGAGACAGAGAGAGATATTTACCTGGACTGGCTGTGAGTTGCTTTTTCTAAACTAAAACCTCAATTTTCAAGTTTTATAGCAGTGCTGACACTTTGCAATAAATAAGTGGGTTTTGGGTTGTGGTTTGGGCACTCGGTCTCTACAAGGTTTGCCATCACTGACCTCGACCATAGGCTTGAATGGGCAGCATCACAGTGTTGCTCCACAGTATGGTGAGATACTCTGCTTCTGTTTAAATTATAATAATTTTTATACTTTTGCATATGCACATATAAATGGGATACATTTCCTCCTTTGGGTGGCATTAATAAGTGGCTACCCTATTTGGCACACAATGACAGTGTGGATCAGTTGAGTCTGCAGCACAACCCCTTCATCCCACTTGAGCTCTTGTTAATATGGGCGTTTCATGTGAATCATCCTACAGATGTGTGCTATTGCCAAAGTCTTAGCAAGCAGAAACAGAGACGGCCCAGGCATTAAGTAGGGTGGCCGGTTATGTTTCACCGAAGCAGAGGAAATGTATCACCAAAAGCGAAACAAATCCCCCAAAACCCACGGACAAAAGAGGGCACAGACCTGCATAACATTGATTGAGCTTGATATGCAAAGAGGTAAATTTAGAAATAATATGCATCCTAAGCAGAAATACAACTCAATAAAATGAGGAAGACTGGGACCTGGTGATGTATGCGATTGTCTGTCCCCCCAGTCTGCTCTCCAGGTGCTTACTGCTGAAGGGGGATGCCAGAGCTGTGGTTCTTGATCATTAAAGTGGATTTTGACTGGGCCACCCTTCAAATATGGCAAGGGTGGGCAGCTTCTGGCCATCCAGATGTTTTGGCCTACAGTTTCCTTCACCCTTCCTCATTAGCTATGCTGACTAGGGTGGATAGAAGTTGTAGACCAAAACATCTGGCAGGTCACAAGTTGCCTGTCCTTGCAACAGAGGTTATCTTTAAATAGCCGGCTGTCATCTGTAAAGTAGGCCTCCCGAACTCCAGCAGCCAGTGTGTGCATGCACACATCACTGTTGCATTTCTTTTAACACACTCTGGGAGGCTGGAGCGGTGAGCTGGTGACTGCAAGGTGCCAAAGCACAGAGCTGAGTATGTGCTCCATGGCTTGGCTCACACTCCCAAAGCGAGCCTGGTGTCCCCAGGTGTGGCAAAGGCCCTTGCTCTGTTACCACAGTTCAGTGAAGGTTTTCAACAGTCCATAGCCTTGGTATTCTGAATGTGGAGTGGTGATGAATGGCGCTTCTTGTCTTCTGCCCCAGGCAGAAAAATGTCTGGCTCCAGCCCTGAAAACTGCATTGCTTTTGGTCAAATTCTCGAAACTGCAGAGCTTCCTGTGTATGTGCTGTCACTGGGAAATCTCTAAGGGGAAGTGGACAAACTGCCCACTTACATGTCATATCCTTCTGTTAGAGCGTAAGTTGGAGTCAGTGGTTTCCAGTAAAGGACAAGACTTTTACCTTAATGACCAAAGTGGTGGTGGAGAGAAAAAGAGAGAATCCCATAGGGCACAATCCTATACATGTTTAGACAAAAAAAATTTACAACTCACAACATGCCCACCCAGCATAGTTGTAGGCCATTTCTGTCTAAACTTGCATGAGATTCTGGCTTTAGTCTCCATCACGGTGCCTTTTTCTAAAGAGCATAGGCCAAAATCGGAAGCAGGCTGGTTTCCTGCCACATACTCTAGACAGAGAACAGAAAAGATAGTCCTGCACAGAGAGTCACAGTGGATTCTTCACTGATGGTGAGACCCTAGCTCAGATAAAGGCCACTTGGTGTCCTCCAGATGCTTTGGATTGACAGTTGGCCATGCTGGCTGGGGATGATGGGGGTTGTGGTACAAACCTGAAGGACCCAAGGTTGTTCCTTCCTGACCTAGCAAAAAATGGTGTCACGATGTACATTCTAAACACTCACAGCAGAAGGTTGAATGTCACCAGGGCCAGTTCAGCCATGAGGCCAAGTGAGGCAGTTGCCTTAGATAGCAGTGCATGGATAGCTTGGAGGGGTTGGTGACAGCAACTCCCTACCTATTCCTCTGGTGCAGGACAGTGCTGTGTGTGCCAGGCAACCTCCTCTCTTCCTCCTAAGCTTGCCTGCTCTTCACAGGTGTGCTGAAGACTGCTGTTCCCTCTTCTTTATTCAAGTTAAAATTCAGCTGCAACTATGGCTGGCTCCTGTAAGTGATCTTGGCCTTCACCTTAGGAAAAATGGCTCAGCCTGTTGGATGCACGTTTTCGGATACACCTGGGAACAACTGCTGCTGTTCCTCAGTGTATCAGCTCTCTGCATCCCTTACCACTGCAGCTATCCAACATACCTGGAACGCCAGCAAGCTGGGTCTATGGCAGGGAAGGTGTGTGCATGCGTGTGTGTAGAAGGGCAATCTATTTTAAGTTGTGCTGAGAATAATTTGGTCCAAGAGTGTTGAACTTCTTTAAGCCAGTGAGCTGAATTCCATCAAGGAGAAACTTTCCAGGGGACAAGAGGGCCAGCACCACAAGGGACAAAACCAAAATACCAGCATCTTGGCTTTTAAAGCTCCTCCTCCTAGTTCCTGTGCTTTGAGAGCAGCATGGCAACTTAAGCATGGAGGCAAGACTGCACGAATCTTATCCAAAAGTAGGTGGAAAGGAGATGATGTCGAAATGTGGCTATGTGGGGACGCCCAGAAGTCTGGACTGGGACCACAGGCAGTCATGTGGTAGTACTCCCCTCCCTATTCTATATATCTTCTCAGCGGAGTAAATAATCAGTTCACAGGGAATTATGCCCAGGCTTCAAGTCCGGCGTACCTATATACCACACTGTCTCCTGTGGGCAGCCCGCTTGTCAGTTCATCACGGATCTCTCCCCATTCCCCCTGCCAGGGGCAAACACAACCCCCCCCCCCCCCCCGTACCCCAGTACTACTGATTTGCTTCCTGAGGAAAGCACTTTGCTCCCAGTTGCTTCTAGAGGGATTAACCGCTCCGGCAGCCGAGCGGATTCAGACACCGCCGCGCTTTGTGCGTCGAATTGCAAGATCGACAAAGCAATGCTCTGCCTGGAATCGCCTCCTCTCTCAGCCAGCATCTCCAGCTTCTGCAACCGGAGCCCTCCTCCGAAGCTGCAGGCGGGGTTTCTGCGGGAAAGCTTGTATTCTTGTCGCTTGCTCATTGGATGCAGGACGAGCCAGTCCTCTCGCGTTGCGGTCCGGCAAAGGGGCTGGGAAGCCGGGGCTTGAAGGCTATTGGTCAGCAGGGACAAAGCGAACCGAAAGGAGAACCCCTCCCCGCAGCGCACGCGAGGGCCTCCCCATCGGTGATGCGGGCGGCGTTCCCCGCCCACATTCCGCGGCGGACTGGGCGGGGAGCGTGGAAACGGGAGCGCCGCGCTTCGGCGATTGGCCCGGGGCGGAGCCGAGCCTTGCTTGGGGTGGGTCGGAGGGAGGCCGCCGGTGCAGTCGGTCTGGGGCCGTGAGGAGGGTCTCCGGCAGCTGGTAGAGCGGGCGGCGCTCGGTCGAAAGCCTAAAGCACACGCGTAGCCCGATGCAAAACTCCCGCTGCTGCATTCCCTGAGCGTCGCGAGCCGCAGTAGCTCCGGAGCTCGCGGCTCTGTAAAGTTTGCGAACTTGTTCTCGCTCGGCGGGCCCCTTTTCAGAGCACAGGGAGAATACGGAGGGACGGCGCGGGGAGGCCGCTTCTAATCTGCTCTGTTCCTATTTTTGCCTTATGGAACACGGTTGTTTCCTGTGACTTTTTGGTGGTGTCCCCCAAGAGCGCGTGTTTCTCCCCTCCCTGCCCCCTTGCTTGGTTCGGACTGGCCATGGAGGTCCTGGAAGGTGGGGAGCAGAGTCTCTTACACTGGGATCGAAAACTGAGTGAGTTGTCAGAACCGGTGGACTCCGATGCCCTGCTGTACAACACGGTGAGAAATCAGGCATCGCCGGGGGAGGGGGGGCGGGGCGCTGGGTCCGGTGAGTTGAATCCTGTTGCTGGTAGGTTGCCCCCCAGTTTTGGAACAGAGAGGCAGAGTCTTTAAATCGTTTTGCATGCTTTTGGTGGATGAAAGAACCGCAGGTTGGGTTAGTGCACATCTGGATTCAAAAAGTGATCCTGCTGTTAGCCATCTTTGGGCTCTCTCATCATGTAGGTGGATTCTCTTTTTGGAATGAACTGCTGTGAAACTGGCTGTTTGTGTATTCTATCTCCTTCCCCTCGCCTTTTCTTTTATGACTTAGGAACCCCCACCCCATCATATATCAATTTATTTAGTTTGCTCATTGACATTAGAATAAGTGCCAGGCATTTAACTGGTGTGGTGTGATGTTGTCAAAACAGCTTTATAGTTAAAAATGGAGGAGAGCCTGGAGTTTGGAATTTTAGAAGGGAAATAGAGTTGCTGACGCAAGGAGGAAATGGCTTGAATGTTCCTCTGCTTCTTTAAGGTCTCTGTCCAAATCAAATGGCTCTTGGACAGAGGAAACATCGTTTGTCTTCTCCCAGTAATTCCTGTTTCTTCAAAAGAATCGGTTGTGTAGCTTTCAAAAGGACTTTTTCCTTCCGTTTTCTGCAAATTAAGAAGTTCCGACTAAGTTGTTAGCAAGAAAAAAGCAGGTTTTGAGAGAACTATAACAGCAGCCACTTTGTTTCCAAAGCTTTGAAATTTTCTGTAAATCTGGCATCCTACTTTTTCCTCTACTATTCCAGCTGCTCCTAGTTTGCTATTGTTACAGAAGCCAGTGTGGAAGGGAGTTAAGGCCCATGTGGCTCATTCCACAGAAATAGTTATGAAAGGAACAGTGAGGAAAGTGAGCATCAGTTTAGGCAAGATGTGTGGATTTTTCCCTTTTGCTGACAACTGCCAATCAATGAGTTTTAACTGAACAAAGTCTCAGTACAGAATTTCCCCCTTGACTGCCAGAATGAATTCTGCTCAAGCAATGAAATGGAATGTCACTTCTTAAGTTATTATTTTAAAAATTCTGTGTGTGAAAGTAAGAATGAGTGGCTTTCCCTTATGCAAGAAATCAAGATTTTTTAAAAACAAATGTCTTGAGGACAAAGTGCTTTTGAAAATTGCCAATTTAGGAAGAGAGCTATTAAAAACATCCAAGGGAAAAGTGTTTTCTCCTCCCCAATATAAAAACAGACTCTTAACAAGTGGGCTGCATATATAGTTCATATCAATATACATATTTTATATACCAGCCTTCCCCAATGTGACAAAGTCCAAATTTGTTGGCGCTCAGTGCCTATCAGGTTGGCTGGGGACAATGGGAGTTGATGAACATCTCTGGAGAGCACGAGGTTGGTGAAACCTGGTGCAGAAGAATGTACACCCAGCACACAACCTTCTCTAGAACTGTGTGCCTTAAGCAAAGAGCAGCACCTTGTGCTAAAAGATCTTGCCTAATTTGAGGAAGCTGTTTAAACACTAGGGGCCTGGTCCAGCCCCACACTCCACTTTGGGTTGGAGGATACTTAAGAAAAAACAAAACCATGTCAAAAATGATATGCAGTCAGATGCAATGATGAAATCTGGATGAATATCAACAGGCTGAACACGCTTATACAGTCAGACCTCAACTTTTTCAGATTTGATTATTTGTGAGTTTGTCATCTATAATTCAATGGGATTTTTTTTTTTTTGAGTTTTGCGGCCTACTGTGGAAAATCATAGGTGATACTTATATGTAGATACTTATATGTGCCAACACTGTAGGTTAACAGAGAGGGAGAAATAATCCAGCCCATGTATGGTAAAAAGTATTAAGAGTTAAGGTTTGGATGGGGGGCTAGAGATATTTGTAGTTTTTCCAACCCTGGGAGGGATGGCTCAGCTCTCCTTCTCTGTGTCCATACTAGTTCCCTGGGTAGGCCAGGAGATGCTCCTTCAGCTTCCAAGGTTGCCTGGGGAGCACGATGACAATTCCACTCCCCAAATCCATAACAAAGAACAATGCCTCTTGCCCAGTATTTCATAAACTTCTCTACCCATTTTTCAGGAGGTGTCAGTACACACAACTAACCCCTTCCTGGGAAGATGAAGGTGGGGGACAAAGCTGCTTCAGTAAACCAAACAGTTTAATGCTCACAGCAAAAGTAGTCCTTATTTGCAAATGATCAGAGATGGCGATTTCAAGTAACGATCTCTGGTGTTCTCCTTAACATGCTGAAGGCCAAAAGGCTTTGCTAAGTCTTCAAGAAACTACCTGGCTTTTGGACACTTGAAAGTTAACGGCACTGCTTGTTGAATGTTAATAACCTCCCTGCCATTCTTCTGTTAGAGCCCATCCAGTGCAGCAACATTACAAAGAGAGACTTTTCCCAGCACTGCAGCGTAGTATCTTTGAACTTCCAAGCATGAAGTAGTGGATATTCTATGAGGGGGAAGTAAGCATTAGGGGAAAGCAAGCCTTCCTCCTTTTAGCTCCTAGTCTGATTCAGATTCTGTCCAGCCTCAAAGCTTGCTTGTCCTCACATCAGACTGATGTAGGCGGTCCAAGAAAAGCGATTACTTCATCTCTTCTCTTGGGACCAAGCCGTGTGTTCTCATATGGAGAGTGCTGGGAACACCCTCCATTTGGCTGCTCTTCCACACTGGTGCAGCCAAAGTCTAACAAAGCACATCGTGCAAAGAGCTTCCACACAAGTGCTGCACGTTCTTGATAGCTCCTGGCAATAGCATGGATGTGCTCTGTCCAGTTACACCATGCTGTGTGATGAGTGGGGCTACGAGGTCGTAGATGCCTGATAACCCCCGTCCAGTAGATCGGCCTCGAGGCCGCTGTTTTAAGGAACAATCCTATGCATGTTTAGACAGAAACAACATGCATAGGATTGTACCTTTAATCACGTTCTAAGTGTTGGGTGTAGCACGAATTGTGTCAACAACCTGTTTTGTCCGTGACCTTGCAGAAGGAGATGTGTTTCTGAATTGCAATGGCCTCATTATGTGACCTATAATTGGTGAGCAGAATTTATTTCAGCTGGGTTTGTCATCAGAACCCCCCTTCAGCATATTTCTGGTATGTATACCTGTTGCTTGTTAGCATGACTGAGAATAAGACCAAGGCTGGGTCTATGTAGATACTTATCTATTTAAAGCATTTATATACTGTTCATACAATGGAAAAGCTCTCTGAACAGTGTAGAGATACTGTGTCAGTTCTTAGTAGTCCCCATTGAGTTTCATGGGACAAAATAAGCAGGTATAGTTTGAGAGAGTTTGAGGAGGCATGGGAGCTGCCCAAGATGCCCACATCAGCTCTGCATGCTTAACACCTACAGAATTCATCTCTACTTTCTCCCACTTAACTGAATAGCCACCTCCATTCATTCTTATGGAGAAAAGTGAAATGCTGTCTGAGGACAACATTGCAGTGGGTGCAAACTTTACCTGCTATTTTGGATGTTGTGTGCCTTTTACTGTAGACTTGGCCTCCCTGGGAGAAAAGCAAACTGGCACTCTGAAAGATGGCCCTGAAATACCAGCCCTCCTTTTGCACACAGCTCACCTGTCATATTTTAAATTGATTTATTGACTAGTACTTTTGTTTGGTTTAAGTGTTTGCTGCTGCTTTTAGATTGTTTGTTGAGCAATCCTGTGGCCCCTAGACGGCGCCTAGAAGACACAGGAGTTCTTGGAGACACAGCTCCGCCATCAGAGAAGAGTTCTGACACTGGAGTTGGGACTCTGCTCTTGGAGTGGCTCCTCTGCCCCACTCGCAGCAGTGCAGAAAGCAACCCCAGAGAAAGGATTGAGTGAGTGATCCAGGAAGCAGGAAGGAGAAGCTGCCAAGATACGATGTATCCTGGGAACACCCCAGCCTCCTTCCCTCTTGCTCTGAAGTGTCAGAGGTAGCTAAAATTGTGCTGAGCACTGTCCAGGTTCAGAGGGTGATGGGCATCCTCACTGGATTGTGCTCTCAGTGTGTTTGACACTTCTTAATGTTTCTTAATGTATTTTATGAGCCATCTTGAGAACCCCTTTTTTGGGAGGGGAAAATGGGCAACTATTTGTTAAATCTCACAGAGGGAGTTTGATAGCGCAATAACAGCACAGAACGTGTCTGAATACCTTGGTGGGCCTGTGCAGAGAGACCAGAGTTTAGTGGAGTGGAGCAGGGCATGCCTTGCATGATAGTCCTCAGCACATTCTTCCCAGCCTGGTGCAGAAATGGTGGGCTGCAGTTGCCAGCACACCCCATCTACTGGGTTATGCTAGCCATCTTTCAAAGAACCGGTTTGCTTGTTCTGCATGGAGGCAATGTTTGCTGTAAAATCATCCAACGTATTTGCATTATGCTGGTCTGTCCAATAAAAAAACCAAACAAACTGGTTTTTAGAACATCTAAAGAAAGTTAGAAAAGGCAGAGACTCTAGTGGGACCGAGAGAGGGGTCTGCAAACACTACACTGGAGACCCCCTGCAAAAGACTCACTAATGCTGTGGATTTTATTTTTCACTCTTGACATATGCAAACATGCCTGCCAGACTGGAAACAAAGATGTCACCTTGTTTGTGAGAAGCCCATGAGCTTTGATTTTCTTTTTTCTCCCCTTTGGAGTTGCAGCTGATGTCAGCAGTGCAAAGAGCTCTTTATACAGCACCTACTTCTGGCCTCTGCTCCTTCTGACTGGCTGGCTGCTCCCTGGAGGAGGAGAATCCAGGTGCAGGAAGCAGGGATGCTGTTTAGCTAATAGGGTGGTTTCAGCCCCGTGCAAATTCACTAACAGTTCCAAGTGCAAGCTTTTCATCTCCAGGGCTTTTGAATGATTTCATAGTATGCTTCTGTGTACTGGTATGCATGTGATTAATGTTTATTCTAGAAATTAATGTTGCAACCTTAGTAAACCCCATGAAGTTCAGAGACTTATTCCCAGGGAATTGTGTATAGGATTCATGTAGGTTCCTATTTAGCTG